TATATATATATATATATATATATATATATATATATATATATATAATATATTGTATACTAGGTCGGTTAGCATTAAATAATTTTATTAAATAATGACATTAAATTATAATAAATAAAACGCTAATGCTTTCGACAGTGATACTGTATAGGATAAGATAAAACGATAAGAATGATAAGAATTCTTGTAAATAAAAAATAAATTGAAATAAAAAGATACATCCATAATATGACATTCGCAATCAATCGGATACAACTATGAAATAGTACGAATATTATTCTTTTGCTCTAATAATTATCATAAATAAATCATTTTATAAATCATAATCATTTTATCATAAATAAATCAAAATTATAATCATTTTATCATAAATAAATCAAAATTAACGTGGCATATAATCTAACTTCTTAACCTGCATTCCCTCATGATTTTACATATCTGCTCAATTGGTTACAAATTTTATTTTATTGATACATCTATTTATTTCTGTATATTTCGTGAAAATTTTTAGCGTGTATTTTCACGCTTCTGATGTCACAAGTCAAAATAAAAGACTACTGCAAAAATCTAGGAACCTTAATGTTCAATAAATGAAATGATTATAAAAAGAACGTTTATTTATTGCCAGATTCTGTCATTACCGTATCTTAATATGGTGTTCTCTGAAACCTTAAGGAAGTACCCAATATTGACCACTCTAAATCGCGAAGCGCTGGACACTTACAAAGTGGCGGACTCCAATCTAGTTATCGAAAAGAATATGCCGGTTTTTATTTCGTTACTTGGCTTGCACTTTGATCCGGAATACTTTCCCAATCCTGAGAAATATGATCCAGAACGATTCAATAAAGAGAACATCCATAAAATACCGCCTTACGTATATATGCCATTTGGAGAAGGTTTCCGCAAATGCATAGGTAAGACATTTTTTTTTTTTATATTAAAGAAGGATTTTAGAATTTTTAAGTTTCATGAAATGTTTTGGAGTCGTCTGATAAAACGTTGGAAAACAAAAATTTTACCTTAAGTAAATTATTGATAAATAAACTATAATGAAAAAATTTTTCAAAATTTCGTAATCGGAAAATATCTGTGTGCAGTGATGCTACTTTTAAGTTACTACAAAATAACTTTTAAGTACTACAAAATAAATTAACAAACATAAAGAAAAGTATACGACTTATTATTATAATAACTTATAATTATAATAATCTAAGATTGACGAGAATTACTAAATGATAATTATAGCGGTACAAAAAATTTCCATTGACCTCGAAACGTTCGTCTAGTTTCATCCTCATTTATTAGAGCATCCTCATTTCAGAAATAATCTCACAGTGCTATTGTGCATCCTACAGGTGCTCGTCTGGGTATTTTGCAGACAAAACTAGCGCTGGTCAAATTTCTGAGCCAATACGAGGTAACACCGTGTGAGAAGACTCTAATACCGATGGTTATCGATCCGAAAGGTACTGTGACGTCGCCATTAGGCGGCAAAATATGGCTCAATGTACGAAAGATTAATACAAGTTTTAATTGAAATCTGACAACATTTATTTTACATTAATATACGATCATTGAATGTATCAAATTTGTTTGATATGCTAAACAATAAGATATTCCGCTAATAACATTTGTTACGTCCTGCACGGACGTGAGTCATACAATTTATCTTTCTTTCCTTCTGTCGGCAGCCGACAAACAGTTCCCAATCCTCCTTCCTCCTTTAACGAATCCAACACTTAGTATCTCCGAAATTTCACATTTTTTCTATCAAACCATTCCCGGTTGATATCCTATAAAACCGCGGCTCTGCGCTGTGGACTTCACTTCAATACAGAACTTCAATACACCACTTCGTCATTTCATCAAGGCAGTCACCAGATTTGAGGCTTTCACGGCCATTGATACAATGTCTAGGTATAGCTTCCGGAATGGAGCCGTGTCTTGAATATGGCATATCGCTGATTCAAGACACGGCTCCATTCCGGAAGCTATACCTAGACAAGGCAGTCACCACTTTAATATACTTCTACTTCGTCAAGACAGGCAGTCAGTTACTCTCACGTCGTCAATTCTTCAACACGGTACTTAGTCATTCCGTACTCTAGACTATTCAGTCATACAAGACAGGCACGCAAATTCGTTATATTTTCGTGAGTCTTGTGGGAAATTTATCCCAATCGAGTCAGTGCAACCGCGCCAAACTTGGAGAGTCTTTTGAGGTAACCCGCCCACGAATTGACTGGATCCATCGATCATCCTTAACCCACATTGAGGTACAAGGTTCAACCGAAATGGGTCGTCGATCTTCTCATCAACGCAGCGATCTGCACGACGCTCTCCACTAAGGTTACTAAGTGTATTGTACCATATACAATATAATACAAGTGACTTAAGAGAGACTGGGACTAGTTAACTATCGAAATAAGTTGGCAAAACCGATTATTTCTAGTATTTTCTAACAAGTTATAAAATTAAGCAAGCAAAATTTTTAAACATGTTTATATAAAAAATGGCTTTATGTGTGTGTGAAATCTCTGCTTACTTGATTCTGAAATCTATTAAAGAGCAGTAGAAATAATTGATTTTTTTAACTCAATTCGGTAGCCAAATAACCCCGATCTCTCTTACTAGCTTTTAAAATACGTGACGCTCTATAAACTTGTTTTTATTTAAGAATTCATTGATTCAAATTTCTACTTCTTAAATGCTTTGCAAAATGCTTAAAATTATACAAAAATGTAACGTTTATCGCAGTAAACCAAATTTGTAGTTAAAGTTTCATGAAATTTGTCTGCACCGTTCGTGAAAAATTTAATACAAAATTTTGCACATATAATCTTATGACAGAAGCAATATAGATGACATTCATTCCAATATAACTTTCATAAGAAGTGATTCGATCCAAATAAAGGACTTACCGTAATAAATATTACATATTAGGAAACGCGGCATAGAAGAGAGAATAGTATTCGCTATATCATTTTTATATAATAGTCGATTGTAAGCCAGAAAAGTGCTGTTTTCTGCTTTAAATAGCATTGTACTGAGTGAAACGTAGCAAAGTAGTATTATGAAATCAAATTAAATTAATCAATTTTAGATTATCATTTATTATTTAAATAGTGAAATATATATATATATATATATATATATATATATAAAACGGAATTTTGTTCAACAAATAGTGTATTTATGAGTAGCTCTCTTGATGCGCCACTGAAAATACGTTCTTTGAGCGGTCTGCACAAACGTACACTTAAATAATTTAAATTGAAACATGAGGAACGACATTCTATATACACTGAGGAAATAAAATATTTAAAAAATTAAAAATATTTATTCGGCGGATACTATACAATATAATAACATATTTACTTATAATAAAATATTGTTCATATAAAAAAAAGAATATATTTTCTTAAAATCTTAGCTTTTGATAAAGAAAGCAATTGCTTATTTTATTTAAATAAATGGATTTAGATTTTAATTAAATATGTTAATAATATACCAACCAAAGAAATATTTTTATTTTCCAGATATTTTTTCTCTCAGTGTGCGTTCGTAAAATTTTAAATTGAAACGCGGATTTACCGAAGCCCATATATTCTAGGTAATATTTAAAATATCTAGATGTATTTCCGCTCTTGAATATCCACCACATCCACTGAATAAATATTTCTTAAATATTTTATTAAATATAGTAGTTTGCATGAAGTTTACGAAATTTTTTTTGATGAATTTTTGCAAAAAATATAATGGTATTTACATTTTCGCTTATAAATTATTTTTATTCATGTTTGACAGTTCTCAAACTTCCAAGTGCGTATCCTTTTGGGCACGGGAGTTTGCAATTTCGTGAACATTGTGCGTGGCAAAAAAAATATTGCAAATTTTATACAAACAATTATCATATCACTAGATACAGTTGGTACAATTACTACTCTCGGTGTTTGATTCGTCCCTAGATAGCACGAGCATTAAAAATTACGCATGAGTTTAATATGTCTTAGTTGTTTATAATACTTGATAAAAAATGTTATCATAAAGTTAGTTGTTTATAACAGTTGTTTATAACTTAATTGTTTATAACACTTGATAAAAAGTGTTATCATAAAGATAGTTAAAAGACATCTTAAAGTCATTTTATACATCGTTTTCATGCTCATTCAGTCTAAATCAACACTTCAAGAGTAGAGGAAGTTCTGCAGCGGGCTTTAAATACGCAACTTTACATCAAGAAGATCTACATCCGACACTGTTAAAATTACAGATACATATGTGAGGTGATATATTTGAATAACATTAAAAATGTTTTAAATAGTTCTTGTGCACGGGAAAGAAGATAAATATATTGAGTAAGTATAAATACAACTCGTTTCGTACATAAACGTTTTCTTTACAAAAAAAGTACTCTTCACTTTCACTTCACAATTCACTTTCTGTGATAATCTAACAGTAGAACCAATTAAGCAATTGTTTAAATTATGATATCAATAAGTTAAGTCATCAATAAATCTTCTAATCTCATTTTATCTTATCAATCCGCTAATATCTTCAAATATATATAAAAGAAAGTATTTTTTATAGGTAATTACTAAAATGGCGTTAATCACGAGTTACTTGATTTTGGACACCATAATGATTGTAATAATAACAATCGTGGTAGCCGCATACTTTTTCATGACTCGCAAATTTAACTACTGGAAAAAACGTGGCGTTACCGAGATAAAACCGTTACCATTTATGGGCAACATCGGGAACTTCTTATTGCAAAAGCAAAGTATTGGTTTTATCTTGAAGGACTTTTACGATCGATCGAAGGGGCTACCTTATATAGGCTTCTACGTATTTGATAAACCTTGCTTGTTGATACTTGATCAAGAATTAATAAAACATGTACTAGTAAAGGACTTTAATAAGTTCTGTGACCACCACAGTACGTCTAGCTCACAGGATCGCATCGGACACTCCTCTGTCCTATTCATAAAAAATCCAACCTGGAAAACTGTAAGGAACAATTTAACGCCACTATTCACATCGGGCAAGCTGAAAAAAATGTTTAATTTGTTGGTGGAATCTGTTGTCAATCTAGATTCGTATCTTGATAAATTAGAATTAAATGGTAGGTGCTTTACCAAATTAAAAAATGATTGATTAAATATAAATATCGAGCTGCAAGGGATTAAAGAAATAATGATGAAGAATGATATAAGCTTATAAAAGTTAATTAACTTTTATATCTACTTGTTATATATACAATGCATTATTTAATACAGGATGGAGACATTGTTTAATAAACTAATTCAGAATATTTGCTGTCAGGTGAGGGAAAAGAGATGGAAGTGAGGGATTTATGTGGTAATTTAACGACAAATATGATTGGTAGCACCGCTTATGGACTCAATATTGACTCAGTGAACGATCCGGAGTGCGAGTTCCGTAGGAAAGGGAAGCAAATTTTCACTTCAGGTATCTTTCGTGGATTCGAGTTGTTTTTGGTGTTCTTCTATCCTGAGATATCTCGTTTCGTGAATATAAAGTTCTTTGGGAACGCAGCCACTAACTTTTTACGCAATGTTTTCTGGGATACGATCAATCATCGTTTAAAGTCCGGTGACACGCGTGACGACTTAATTGATATACTTATCCAGCTTAGGAAACAATATGGCGATCAGGATTTTGGAGATTTCAGTAAGTAAAATACGATATACTATAACAGTTCTCCACAGAAGAAAATTCTTTGGTTATATCTAACCTTTTAGCAAAGGTTGGCAAATGTTAAATTAGTTGATATACGATAACGATAAATTTAACATTTTTCCTACCTACATGTAAGTTTTTAATGACCTAAGAATTATCTAATAAGGGAAGATTTGATCAATGATTTTAGGAATATCGTGCAAGAGAAAAAAGTAAATATTAAGAAAAAATCTTCAACATCGTTTTACAAATATAGTTAATGAGAGTGAAGAGTTGACGTAAATATTCATGACAATAAAATTAGAATAACCAACGTGCATTTAAGCAATAATCTCGAAATCTAAAGTTAGCTCCATATACAAAATAATAGGATATCTCAAGAATCCAACAGTATGAAAATCAATTATGCATAAATTTCAGAATTCAACGGGGACGATCTAGTGGCGCAAGCGGCCATTTTCTTCACCGGCGGCACCGAGACAACTTTATCCGCAATGTCTTTCGCGTTATACGAACTCGCGATGCAGCCACAATTTCAAGACAGACTCAGGGAAGAAATTCTCAATGCGATCAACGAGAACGAAGGAAAAATCACATATGACATGGTATGTATGAGTATTGTACTCTACAATCAGTTGATATCAAGTAATTTTATGAGTGTATGAAATATGAATATTCTTTTGATAATAAAAACTTATAGTTATGAAACGAATAGTTTTCTTTAAATTAGTACTTTAATATATTTCAAAATTTAACGACTAATGCAAGTACTTGTAAAAACATTGACATTGGATGATCGTCAGATCCTGTCATTGCCGTATCTCGATATGGTGGTCTGCGAAACTATGAGGTTGTACCCAATAATAGAGAATCTAGATCGCGAAACAGTGGAATCTTATAAAATACCAAACAGCGATTTGGTTATTGAAAAGGGTACGCCAATTTACATCTCGTTACGTGGTATGCACTATGATCCGGAATACTTTCCCAATCCTGAGAAATACGATCCAGAACGATTCAGCGAGGAGAACAGATCCAAAATACCGCCATACGCATATATACCATTTGGAGAAGGTCCTCGTAAGTGTATAGGTAAGAACATCTTATCTTTTGTTTCAATATTAAGGTAAGATCCCGGGAAAGCAAGGGTCCATATTGCATGTTTTATGTTGTTTGTATTGGGTATATCTAGTAGAACGTAGAAGATAGAAATTTGCTTTATAAATAAATGACGGATCAATAAGCTGTAATGTTCGAATTTACCTAAAGTAATAAATCTAGAAATACATGTACAATGGTATCAGTTTCAATTTTAACACACGTCGAATTAGCTATTATGAAATTTTCGGTTTCGTCATGATAATAAATTAGCGAAAACACAAAATAATATAAGAGAAAATGATAACGTTAGAAAGAAAAGATATTTCTATTGGGCTCGTAATATGTTCATTCATCTTCAGCTTTTTCGTCCTCATTCATTAAAATATTATAAGAAATTCACAGTACTGTTACATTTCACAGGTATCCGCTTGGGACTTCTGCAAACCAAATTGGGAATCGTAAAATTGTTGAGCAAGTACGAGGTAACACCTACTGAAAAGACTCACATACCAATGACAATTAATCGCATAAGCCCAATAACTATGCCGACAGATAATAAAATATATCTCAAACTACGAAAACTTAGCACAAGTGCCCAATAAAATCAGTGCCAAATAAATTCAACCCCATTTCCTAACCATGAAATATATGCAATTCGTTCGATTTGCTGCACTGAGGAAAAAATCCTTGAGAATTTATTATAGGGATATAAATAATTTATTATAGAAATATAAAATTTATTCCTGGGAAATAAAATTTATTTCCGTGAATAAACTTTATATCCTATAAATAAATCAAGTATTTTTTCTTAGTATAAATATGTGACTCCTAATAAAAAATCATTCGACTATGTTAATAATAAGTATATCGTAATAAACGAATAATGTTTAATGTTAGTTGTACAAGATATATGAAAACGAGACGACTCGCGTCTCATTCCGTATTATATATATTCATACGTTGCACTAAATAAAGTTATTGTTGTTGTTATAATTATTATATTCATAGACATATGACTTATATATTATAAAGTTAAAAGAGTTAGTTATGTCTTTTAATGAAATGCTTACGACTGTGTCAAGATAATTTTAAAATACCTTTCCGCTGCGACCCTTATTCCTCGCTTAGGGTGCAAAATACTGACGCGACGTCCGGATCGCTCGCCCGAGAGTCCTTGCGAGGAGTGTATGAAGTTGGCACCCCATTTTTTGAAATTTATAATTTTGAAAGTTATTCCAGATTGTTCTGACTTTATACCACATTGTTCCAAAGTGATATTGTTTCATTCGAAACGGTTTTCGAAACAAAAAAAATGATTTTTTGAGCTGGCACCTCACTTTTCGAAAATCGAACATTCTGATACCGCAATAGATTATTCTAGTTGTTCCAAACATTGTTCCAAAATCCGTAAGTTGAATTATAAGTCCAAAAAATGAAAAAAATGTTATTGACCTGGCACCCCATTTTTTGAAAATAAAGCATTCCGATACCGATATAGATTTTTCTAGTTGTTCCAAACATTGTTCCAAAAGCACAAATCAATAAGTTTAATTATAAGCCCGAAAAATTAAAAAAAAGTTTTTTGACAGTCTATCGGACCAAGGGTAAACTTATACTATCTTTCTTGTTCCAACCGAGATCTTTTTGTTCTGAGATGTTCTAGGCTTAAGAATTATAGTTCTAGAGTATGAGACTCGTAAGCTCATGCATTCTCCGAAAATTCGTAAAAAAATCGATTTGACAGTACTCGACGTCAAGAGTAAACACATGCTTCCTTTCTTGTTCCAACCGAGATCTCTTTGTTCTGAGTTGTGCTAGGCTTAAGAATTATAATTTTAGAGTATGAGACTCGTAGCGTCATCCGTTCTCCGAAAATTCGTAAAATCTTTCCGACTACCACTTGTTTCGGTCGATGGCACACGCACTTGCTAAGGAACGCTTCAATTCTTATGAAGACGTCGAAAAATGGGTCTCTGACTGGATAGCCTCCAAAGATAAGTCATTCTTTTGCCGCGGAATTTGCTTGCTGCCCGAAAGATGGGATAAAGTCATCGCTAACGATGGAAAATATTTTGATTGATATACTTTTTCATTTTTTTTCTTAAATAAAATCATACTTTTTGCAAAAAAACGGATGGAACTTTCCGATTTATACAATACCTATTAAATACAAAATTTTTATTCTAGACGATTGTGTGCATTTCTACAATATATCGGTTTACAAAATTGATAGTAAAATGAACAGCGAGGTGTTAGTCTATATATGTGCATATGTGTGTATATGTGTGTGTGTGTGGGAGTGTGCGTAGAAGTTAGTCTTCCGGATTTATGGGAGTGTAGGAAACGAGGAACAAGGTAGGTTTTGAAGGATGAAATCGAATTTTGGACTCATCGAAATTATTGAGAATAATTAAAACTATGACGGAAAATTGCGATGGATAAGATAAAATAAAATGGATAACTTACTCTTGAAATATGTATGTGTTGGATGGATGGAATGCCTCTAATAAATCTCGCTCTTTGTTGTGGAGTGTAGTATCGTTATCTAGTTGGTCGAGATGGATTTTAAGCAGCGAATTGTCGGAGTGAGTATCCTTCTTTCAGACTGACAGGAAGAGGAATTGCATCGAAGAATATTGCAGAATATTGCGAAGAATTGAGAAGAATATTGTAGAATCATAAAGAATATTGCAGGATTACGAAGAATATTGCGTATTACAAAGAATATATTGCAGAGTTACAAAGAATATTACGTATTACAAAGAATATATTGCAGAGTTACAAAGAATATTATGTATTACAAAGAATATATTGCAGAGTTATAAAGAATATTGCTCCAAAGAGACACGGATTGAGTCTTTTACAGGGACCGACTAGATTTTGAAATTAGGAAGTTGGGGATAATTATTACCGGATTGGTCGGAGATAAGGATAGTAACTTGGTTTGGAAAAAATTACAGAAAAATTCGAGAATCTTTGATTAAGTTGCATGATAGAAGATGACATTCGGTGATTTATGATTATGTGCATTGTGATTGATGTGTTTCACGATTGTTTTTGTACAATTGTTTTGTAAGGTGGTACGACTCGATTCCATCAATTCAGCACGTTATTATGATCAACTTGATTCTTGAACTTGATTCTTGAACTTTAATATCAAACATGAACGTCGTGTCATGATATTTTTCTAGCTCTCAGAATATTGAAGAGGTATCGTTCTCGAAGCAGCGGATGTTTAGATTTTATTGCGTAATGCGCCGTTAACATTGTTGATCAGTTTTATGCTTAGATGATTTTAAAACTAAGATGATTTTAAATCTAAGCGAAACACTGCTGTCGATTATGTAACGGCAAACTTGAGATTAATGATTTTAATATATATATATATATATATATATATGAACCGTTTATTTTGAAAGTGACCTAAGTCCATTTATACTTAAATTGAAATATTTAAGAGTTCGCGTTTCAATAAAATTAAAAATATACGTATAAGATACCAATGTGTCATACTGCTTAAGTGTATCTAAAAGAGTTAAATTTACAATTCCTATTAAAATAATAACAATTATTAAGTGAATAATATGTGTTTTCTTACCAAAAATGGAGTTAAGCCACTTTCAAAGTTAACAACCAGATTCGTTATAAAATTTGAAAGAGCCCAAGTCCATTCGACATAATTTAAAATGCTTCAAATTGAAAAAACAATACTCAATTTATTTTATATTTCTTTACAACACTTCAAAAACACAATTTATGCAATTCAGGAAATTTTCTAACTATATAAATTATGTAACAATTTACTGCTCATCTACATTTTGTGTATGCGGGAGGGATTTGAAGGGATTCGAAAAGACTGACAAAGCTTTTTAGAAATAATTTGACAGATATTGCTTATTCTTGCACTAATAAATTATCAGGATTAATTCGTGTGCATAAAGACAGGTTGCCTCTTGGTTTCCATAATAACGTTGTATATAGGTTGCAATGCAGTAGCTGTGATGCTTCTTACGTTGGTCAAACTAGTAGAAGACTCTCTACACGTATTGGCGAGCATAGGAGAATTCCTAAGAGTTCTACGGTGAAGTTAACGGCCATACAGGAACATCGTTTGAGGAAGAACCATGATTTTGATTGGGATTATGTCAAAGTTTTACATGAGGAACGCTTTTACTTAAAACGCCTGATCTCAGAAATGATTTTCATCAAATTTCAGAAGCAAGGTCTTAACTCACAAAAGGATACTGAATATTTGGGCACCAGCTACTGCGGCTTGTTATAAAAATAAACTTTGTTTTGGTTTCTTTCTCTTCCACAAGTCGTTTCCGCAATGTTAATGCTAGGTATATAAATCTGTAATTATTTGTATTTCGAAGACGTGGCGATGTTGACAGAATCGGTTTACTTTTAGCTGAACTCAACAAAGGTATTTTATATTATCAGTTTTAATTATTTATTATATTTCAATTTTACTTATTTTTATTTTATTTTATATGTTTTTTATAATTATGACGGCTACTTCTCAATATTAATTTATTATTTAATATTATTTCGGTAACGGTCTTGTCGGTCTTGTCGGCTTTAATATTAAAATTACCTTCATCACTGCCTTCGGACATTTGTAAATCCGCACTTTCGGACATTACCAATAATGGATTGGACTTAGGCCACTTTCAAAGTAATGGTTTCAATTATTGAACTAACTGCAAAAACTTATGTGTCCAAAATTATCGTGTATACTCTGAATATACTTAACCGCAAATGTTATTTATGACAGCTAACTTCAAGTTG